TTTTTTTCTCTTGAAATTTTAATTTACATAATCGGGCAGGAGATGGGCAGGGACCCAGCCTGCGCCGGCCTGGGGCTTTGTAGTACCCCAGAGCCGGGCAGGGTGTCCCTGCGTATCTGGAGCAGGGCTGGGAGGGACCTGATCAACCACATGCTAAAATAAGTTCCTGAGCAAAAATAAGTGGAGTAGTCATTTCACCGTTTGCAGGGTGCCCGGGGGCTTAATGTGCACTTGCACTGACACCCCTCCTTTTCCAGCTAGGAACCCCTTTGTGAGGTTGCCAGATACTCTCCACCTGTTCTTTTTGACATGCTTTTTGGGGTTTTTGTCCCCTAAATTTTGGCTGCTGCACCTCTGTGTCCAGGCCAGAGCCAGCTGTGCCAAACATTGATTTGGAGAAAACTCAGGCAGCTGAGTTGTGAATACTTGAAAATTGGAACTAGAAACTGCTGACACACTGCCTTACTGAAATGGATCTTGTTCTTCATTTTATTCTTTCGCTCCTCATCTGCAATGGTCTTATGACCACTCTTATTGTTTTGTTTCATTAACAAGTGGTGTCAGAAGTCTTGAGTCATACAAGGTCAGCTATAACACATTGCTCTTGGGAAGACTTCCTCTGCGTGTTACTCTGAAATACTTAGTTCTTAGCCCTGGCCTCAGCTGAGAATCCAACCCTACCCTTTCCTCTGGGGTGAAGTATTTATGGTTAATATTCTTAACAGTGTATTTGAAAGTTATAGTGGAAGTTGTGGTGGTTACAGATACTTGTGTGTAGTAAAATCCTTTTTGATCCCTCTCGGCAAACTCAGCTGTGGAATTTCAGTAGGGATTCCTACAAGGATTCTTGTGTTCCCGACTCACACAGAACTTGAGCAGTTACATCTGCCAGACATCTGAGGCTCCAGGATGTGAGGATAATAATGATTTTTAGTGTAGCAGTTAATTTCAACAACAAAAACGTTCTTTTTCCTCACTCTGGTTCTTGGGGGACTCCATGTGCTGTGCTGACTTCATGCCACCGTGGCTGCAGATGAAGCCGTAGGTGGGTCAGTGGTTGCAGGAGATGTGAGGCTTTCCACCCTCGGGAAGGAGGAGGGGTGAGTCAGAGGAGTGAGGACAGTGCCCTGCTGGAGGAGCGGCTGCAGCAGGAGGGAGTCCTTCTGCTCCTCCACAGCTGGAGTGTTTGTGGAGCTGGGCACAGCGTGCACCTCCCGTCTCCTGCTGGGCTTCAGGGCTTCTCTTGGGGTGTTGTAACCAAGGTCCTCGAAAGCAGTAGGTCTGTAGCCAGAGATTTTATTTATATATTTATTTTTAAAGAAAGTTGATGAAGATGAGGTGATGCGTTTAGGCTTCCAACTTCACTTGAATTGACCTCTCAAGATTCACCTCACAACCCTAAGGCCTGTAAATGAACTTGAGAAGCAGAAAAGAAAGCTGAGTGTGCAGCATAACCTCAGGGTTCAGATGTGTTGAAGCCCTCGGCAAGTCCTGTGCTGCTCAGGTCTCAAGCTGGCCCCAGGGTCTCCAAGGGACTCTGAAGTCTCTCCGTGGGCAGGAGGCTGGTTGCCTGTAGTGGTGAAAGGGTGCTTCCAGGGTTGCTGGCTATTTTGAAATGAAGTGAGGAGATGGAACTTCGAACAGGACTTGCACGCATCCTTTTGGAAAACAACTTTTTTTTTTCCCCTCCCCTGCTAGAGAAAGTGTTTGGAAGGAGGGTGGGAAGGAGGGCTACTGGTGTTGCAGGCCTGTGAGCTGATGGAGATGATAGGAGTTGGCCCTTGATCACAATACGGATTCTGAACTTCAAAAAAACATTGTAGCAAAGGCAGCAGATCCCTCTGTCTTGAAGCATTCTGGGAATTACTTTTTTTTCTTCTGTGTGACCTGGAAATAGTAGCTGATGAAATAGCTCTCCAGCTTGCCAGTGATCTCTAGTGCAGCATCATAGTAGCTGTACATACTTTTGCTTTGTTTTGTTATCTGTACATGACCTTGTCATATGTGAGGGTTTGTAGCTCCTGGTAATTTCTGCTTAACCTTTCTTGCCGTGGCTTCCAGAGAATAAGCATGTGCTTGTGTGTGTCAGAGACTAGATGTTTTTCTATTTTAGAATGTCTGCTTGAGGAAACTGGATACGTTGGGGGCTGATTACAGCTTTCTGCAATCAGAAGTTTAACATTTCACATTCTAATTCTTGCCTTTTGTTTTTTTTGGCTTTCTTTTAGGCTACGGAGAGCTAAATGGTAATGCAGGAGAAAGAGAAGTGTCATTAAAGGGCCTGTCCTCTGATGAAGCCACCACCCCAGGATCCAGAGTACCCAATGGCAGCCAGCAGCTTGTAGACACTAACGTGACCCCAAAGCAGACTGTGAAGGCCGGTGCTTTGGGGAAAGCTGGGATCAAACCCAAGAACTTCATTCAGAAAAATAGTATGGACAAAAAGAATGAGAAGTCCTATGAAAGTAAAGTTCGAGAAAGCCAGTCCTCGGAGAAGCAGGAGGGAGCGTCCATTCCCAACGGTGTGGTAACCAATAATTCTGGCTATATCACCAATGGCTACATAGGCAAAGGGGCTGATAACGATGGTAGTGGCTCCGAGAGTGGATATACTACACCTAAAAAACGGAAGGGCAGGCGCAACAGTGCCAAGGGTTGTGAGAACTTGAATCTAGTACAGGACAAAATAATGCAACAGGAGGTCGGCGCACCAACCTTAAAACAGGAACTTGAGAGTTTCAAGCCTGATTATAGTGAACAAAAGGGGAACCGAATTGAGAATACTAAACCTGTTTGGAAATATGAGGCTGGGGCTGGTGGAGCAGGCCGGGGAAAGCCTGGGCTTGGGGATGTACAGCGAAAAAACTCTGATGCCAAACCTGGGATTAGCAGCAAGAAGTTTGATGACCGGTCCAAAGGGAAACACACATCATCGGCTACGTCTAAAGAGGATTCATGGACCTTATTTAAACCACCCCCAGTTTTTCCAGTGGACAATAGCAGTGCTAAAATTGTTCCTAAAATAAGTTATGCAAGCAAAGTTAAAGAAAACCTCAACAAAGCAGCTCAGACTCCATCCCCATCATCTTCATCGTCTTCGTCATCCGCCGGGGAAGCTCAGGCGCAAACATCAAGTCGACTGTCCCAGGTCCCCATGTCTGCCATGAAGTCTGTTACTTCTGCCAGCTTCTCCAACGGGCCCATCCTGGCAGGGACTGCTGATGGAAGTGCATATTCTCCAGGGACCCAGCCACTGCTCTCCACTGCTGCTAGTACTGTACCATCGACCTCCTCCGAGGCAGCGCCCCAGGACACGAGTACAACTCCAACAGCTCTCGAACAAAAGAAATCTAGCCTTTTTATCTACCCCTCAAATATGCAAACTGTGCTTCTGGGGCCAGGGCAAGTCGATTTCCCATCGCCGGCAAATCAGCAGAACCTGGGAGATATCTTCCAGAATCAGTGGGGCTTGTCTTTCATCAACGAGCCCAGCGCTGGACCCGACACTGTTGTGGGGGAATCTGCAGATAATCAGTTAATGGAAGTGACATTTCAAGGGGAATATCCTGCCACTTTGGTTTCACAGTGTGCTGAAATCATTCCCTCAGGAACTGAACAACCTGTGTTTCCTAAGGCTTATGAGCTGGATAAACGGACTAGCCCTCAAATTCTTAGTGCTATTCTTAAGCCTGGGACTGCTGTTGAGGGTGGTGTCTTAGCTTTGGAGTCGCATCACACAGGTGACCTACAAAAGGCAGACACCAGTAGCCAAGGTGCTTTAGTGTTTCTTTCAAAAGACTATGAAGTAGAGAATCCTCTGGCCTCTCCTACGAACAATTTGCTAGCCTCCGCCAAAGAACAGAGGTACCAGAGAGGCCTAGAAAGGAAAGATAGCTGGGGTTCTTTTGACCTGAGGGCTGCTATTCTATATCACACTAAAGGTAATGGCTTCACTTGCTGCCTAAGGGCATTCGTTTTTTTTAATTTTGGTTTTTAAGTGCAATATTCTAACATGATCTATTCTTTGCAGCAGTTCTGATTTGTGTTATAAAGGAGCTTTTTGCTTGTGTATTTCTAATGGCAGTAACAGTTTGGGAGAGTTCTTGAAATGGTTGTTTAGTGTTGAGGTATTTGTTTCCCTGTTCCTGTGGACAAGGATAAGTGATGTTGCTAGGGAGGATAGTTCACTGGTGGTGTTTACATTTTAATCCCTATGGAACGAGCAGGTCCTCCTAAGCTTATCAGCATTGGAAGGAGTTAAATGTGTAGATTCTCTTGCTCTGTTCAGCTTTACCAGGTGATATTCTGTCACTGAAAGGGCTTCATAATCTGTACTCACACCTCTACTGCCAAAGTGTTGCAGCTTCTCCCCTGGGCAGATCAGACCATGAAATCATGGCTTTGAAGGAAGGAAAAAAATTATTCCTACAGCTTTTCATGGTGTGCTGATTTTATTTTTTTTTTTTTAAGCAACTCCCCCTCCACACACATTTCCCCTGCCCTTCTTGAGTATTATGGCAAGGGCAAGACAAATCTTTGCTTATCAACTCCTCTGTAAGCTGCAGATTGAATTTTCTCCTTGTCTTTGTAGGCCAAATCTTTCAGATGATTTTATTGCTTTCATGGAGTCCTTTGTAGTCCAGCTCTTTTAAAAAAAAAAAAAAAAAGACTGAAATGACTCAAACACCACACAGATGCTTTAAACTGGGAACGAAGAGAGGGAAGCCTGTGGGCTGGCTTGCTTTCTGCTTCAGCCTCAGCTCCAGAGGCTTGGCGGCCTTGTGGCAGCACTTGGCTTTTGGTCCTTGCATGGTATTAACAGGAGCCTGGTTGCCTGTTCCCTTTTGGTGCAGTGCTACTTACCTACCCTTGGTGAACACAGAGGCAGTTCCTTTTTTATTTACTCCCCCTTCCCCCTCTCTGCAGCCCTTTACCCTGAAGGAAAAAGGTGATCATGCATTTTTTCTGTACTGTTCCACATACCTGTGTGGATAGTGTTTTGCTCCCCTCTGCAGAGAGGTTGGTATTTGGTTTGCTTTGGCAAATTTGCTGTGTTTTGACCCAGTGCAAAGTTCTTAGATTGCCTGTTCACAAACTGTACAGCATAGAGAAACTGAGATGCATTCCTTCAGTAATAGCAAGCGTGGTCATTTAAAAATAATAACTCCAAATATTATTTCTAGGTCATCTCACTTTCATGATGTTAACATTTTAAACTCCAGTGTTCTTGAGAACATTGTTCATGTTGATTTTTATCTGGGTCCTTTACCCATCACTCAGTCTATTCCAGTATTAAAACAAGCTTTCCTTCCTCATTTCTTTTTCCTTAGGTCTGCAGCCTAAATCCCAGTTTCCTATCAAAAAATGGGGGTACTGTAAAGCATGGCATGGTGTACATGGGAGGTCCTCAGTAATCCTTTTCTAAGTTTGCATATTTGCCCAGTACTTAAGTTTGTCTCTTTTTGGTTTTGTCAGCCTGAACTTCCTTGTAGGAAAGCCACTCTTCAGCCCCAGCAGACTCATCAGCTCTCCCTTTCTCCCTGGCTGTGAAAGACAGACCCCAGTAAAACAATGGGGAAAACAGGAAAATAAAGAACACTCCCTTCCCATGTCCTCTTAAGGAGGTGTTAGCTTCAAAGTCTGGCTGTGTTTAGCTGCTCTAAACACAGGCGTTAATTACATTCAGTGGCAGGAAGGACACCTAAAGCACTCTTTAAAATACTGTTTTGTGCTCCCTCCATGTGAATGCTCTGGCTTTGAGCATACAGAGCAGTCTCCCCTGCAGTGCCCTGGGGAGTTGAGTTCTGCCACACCAGTCCTTTCTCCAGATTTATTTTTAAGTGTTATCTGCCAACTTCAGGGTGTTACTTAGGGGTGAATGATGATGGATGTTTCTAATCAGTGTTGTTGTTAATGCAGTGATGGGGTGCTCCAAACAGCTTGAGTTTGTCTTTCTCCTACTTAGTCTTCAGATGCTATTGCTGATTTACAAAGCAGGACATCAGTCCAGGTCTTAATACATCTTCTGTGATGGTGTTGGGTGCTGCACTTGCATATGTATTCAGGTCCCTTGGGTGAGCTGGGTTTTGGGTTATTTGGTAGGAACAGCACCTTCCTTTGCCCCACACAAGTGAAAGATGCTGTCTCCTCTTCTTGGCTGTGCTTCTGCAACCAGAGCTCTGCTGGTGAGCTCCTGTGGTACAGCATGCTGCAAAAAGTGCAGAAAATGCAGCTGCCAGGGTGTGTTTGTAGGGCAGCAGTGTAGTAGTTAATTCCCACACCATTCTCTGTTTATCTTGGGCTGTTTTCCTCAGGTCCTACCTCTAGCCAGCCAGTTCCTCTGCAGTAGGAAAGAAATTATTTCACTCATTTTTCACAAGCTGCCTTCCCCTCCTCCCTGCTTGCCTGGGAGAGCATGCAGCTTTGCCTGGGTCGGTGTTTGGGTGTCCTGGGCAGTTGGATCCTCAGATTGTTTGATTTTGATTTCAAGAGGAGGTTGAACTTCTCCCTGTTCAGATTGATCTGTTTGCTTTTGAGCAAAATCTCAATAGTTTGGTCTTCAAATCTGCCCTGCCTCTGGGGTTATGGGCACAAAGAGAAACAATTGTGAGGCAAGGACAGGGGTGAGTGCGGAGCTGGGGGGTCCTGGTGCATTTCCTTTCTTGAGCTCCTCCATATGCAAGGTACCTGTGGTGCAAGGATGATGCTCTGGATGTTGCATTGAGGAATGGGCTCTAGCAGGAGTGGTTGCAGTGTTTCAACCAGTCTGTCACAAGCTTGGACTTTGTTTTGCATTGTTTGTGTCTGTATCTCAGACCACGTTATGTGGATCCTCATCTTGGGCTGTAAATAGGCTATGGGACAGCCTCCAGCTTACTCGGGAGCTTTGTTCCAGCAAACCAGGCTTTCCTTTGTGTGGCTTGGCCAGTGACTGCAAGGGGCAGAAAGACTTTTTCTTGTCAAAGGGCAGAAGGACTCCCTTGATCATCTGATGTGCTTGACTGTAAAACAGGATCCTTCAAGGCAGCTGCCTTCACTGCCAGCACGTGCCGCTCCGCGGTTGTGGCGCTGCCCTGAAACACTCACAGGTGACAGACCTAATTTAGCAAGGTAGAGCTGATTTAGTTGAACACTGGGGGCCTACTGCTTCTGCAGTTGGAGACAGGGACAGTAGCTCAATAGAGGAGCCTGGAAAGACCAGGAAGGAGTGATGGTCTAGCTTAGGGATGTCATCCCTGTCTAGGTTAGAACCAGACCTCTTCCTCAGTGCAGCATCACCAAAGTCCTCATCTTTTTCAGGTAAAACTGGCCCTTGCAGATTTTTTTTTTATCCTTCAGAAGAGGATGCTGGATCCATCCTGTCAAGACACATGGATGAAGCTTTTCATAGTGGAGTAACTGTCCACGCTTTGCAGAATTCTGTTGGGTTTGGGCAGTTGCAGTCCTCCAGCCAGGCCAGCTGTCGCTGACACCGGGGTCTGCATGGCAGGCTTTGTGGTGGGAAGCTCAGCAGTTCACTAGTCCATAGCTACAAGGCAAATAGAGTTCTTCAGTTCAGTTGCACAGTAGCAAAGACCACACAGATGGAGGAGAGGAAGCTGCTGAGTCCTCTCTCCTGTCTTGCCCCTCGGTTTCTGCTTGTGCCACTGCTTTGTTCCTTCCCGGCACCTGGGCTGCAGCAGCATCTCCGCTCGCGTGAGGAAGCAGAGGAGCAGCATGGAAAATAGAGCAAGGCAGCGTGGGCCAGCCAGGAGTGGCATTTGCTGGAATGGTGAACTGGGTCAGAAGAAATAGCAGAGCTGTGAATTCAGCAATTTTCATCCTTTACATCAGGAGAGTTAAAAAAAAAAGCTTTGGTTTCCCATCCCCCTTGGTGGGAAGGGGTTAGATCTCAGGCTGTGGCTTATGGTCTTGTGGGGCCTGAGCTGTAGGGCAAAAGCTGATTTAATTTTTCAAATCTCTGCTTTTTCCAGTTGTCAGGATGTATTCCGTACAGCCGTGAGTCTCCACAGCTTTGAATTTTTAGCCTTTGCTTTGTTTCTGGGGCAGTCCCCTAACTGAATCACTGTCCTGCAGGTAGAATCAGAAAAATCAGGCAAGAATGGTCTGTCCCTCTTTTTTTTTTTTTAGTGCATCATTTTAGGGACTATTGTCAGTTTATATGTTAGATTTGTAGGAACAAAGAGCTGGTACCGTGGCATTGTGCAGACACTTCTGTTTGCAGGGGTGGCCTCTCTAGCAAGGAAAATGTGTGAAAGTGTCTCTCTTAACAAGTTATCACAGAAAGACTTCTCTCTCCTCCAAGGTTATGTATCAGTCCTGCTGTAAAGTTTATTGACCTATGAGGAATCTCAGTGCAATTCACCAGAGCCCACCTTAGTCTGTTCCTGACATCAAAGCCTTCCTCCCCTGACCCTTTGTTTTGGTGATAGTCCTCCAGAAAGTAGTTCCTCTCCTTGGAGCTCATTAGGTGGATGTAGCTGGGGCTGTCTGCCCTGGGCAGTTCCTCAGGAAATCATGAGCCAGAGGCCAGCTAACTGTAAAAAATCCTGGAAACCATGAGTTTGGAAGGGGCACAGAAGGTGACCTAGTTCTGCCCCTGGCTTGGAGTAGGGCTGACTTTGAGGCCAGGTTGTGCAAGGCTTTGCTGATGGCTTTTTCTCTAGCCAGGCTGGAGTCTGCTGAGAAGGAAGCGTGACATTTCCCTGCCCATGTGCCCTGTTTTGGGAAATGGTGTCTGTTGGTCAGGTCTTGGTCACCTTCTGCTTTGGAAAGCAGCAACACTAGGGTTTGGGTCAATATCTGTGAGAGGTGGACTCAGGCTCATGGTGAGACCCATTTTCCTATGCAGGGGTGAGCAACTGTAAGAGTCCTTGCACAAACTCACCCTGGAATCTTTATCTGGGGAAAACAGACTCAAGAAAAGACCTCCCTGAGCCCAGGGAAGGGGGCTGAAAGCAGGCCTGGGGTCTCTTAGATGGACAGTTCATGGGGGCTACCTTTTCTTACACCCTGCATCCCTGTGCTCACTGCTGTGGTTAGTTGGAGCAGTGATAGCTCTGCTGAGCTGCCTGTCCATCCAAGTTGGTCACTGAGGTCTGTCCAGCCACTGTGATAGTGGTCATGGCACTTGTCACAGCACCTTGTGACAGTCATAGGTGACTACAGCCTACAACCAATCCAGAACTGGGAGGAAAACTCACTCTAATGTGTTAGCAAGTAAAGCAGAATAAATCATAAATCTAAATATTGAAGAAAAACCTTTTTTTTTAATTAGTTTGTGTCACAGTAAGCCCAAGACTTCCCCCCCTGAAGTCGTTTCAGTAGGTAAATGTGGATAATCTGTTATCCCCTATGTGCTGCTGTCCAGGTAGAGAAGAAGGCCTTGCTCTTCTGTTCTGATGGGAGACAATATGCAGTAGCAGTCAATGTCAATCCAGTTTGCCAGTGGTCTTTGTTTGGCTTTGTCAGGCTGAGCATCTGCCAACCAAGGTGTCCAAGTGTTTGGTATTTACAGGACACTTGACACCACCCTCTCTCCTACCTCTCCTTCTGAAGAAATGGAAGGAAGATTGAGCTCTGAAAAGGTTGTGGACTTTGGGTTTTGGATTGTTGGGGTTTTTTTTAAGCAGAATTTTGACAATTTAAGAGTGGTTTTGGTATGTTTTCTATAGTATCTCACTGCCTGTCTTATTGTCAGGCACATCTTAATCCAAGCAGGTTACATTATTGTGGTGTCCAGTGAAGTTGGGACCAAAAGAGTGCGAAAGAAAGCTGTTAAAATAGGTGATGTTCTTTAGCCGTTGGCAAATGATGCAGCTAACTTCACTGAATGGAAAACTAGCTCTGCTGGAGGTAATTTTAGTAGCTGGTTCATTTTACTTCTGGGGAATCTGCATCAGGCAGATGAGGGAGGTTAGTCCCGTGCCAGGTTGCTGGTATCCCAGGGGTGCTGCAGACTGGGTACTGTTCCCAGATCATTTAGAGTTCCCCCAATGAAAGTGCAAAATATTGCTGTTGTTATCATGATGCAAAAATAACAGACCTCATAAAATTTTGTAGGGGCCTTCCTTACAAAAGACTTTATTGTGCAGGGAGGACTGGCCATATTTATTTGCATGCAATTTCCTGCCCTGGGGAGCTTCAGACTGGCAGACAAAGGACAAATGCAGGGCTGGAGAAGGGACTTGAACATGCAGGGATTGATGGAGGTGACACTTGGCACACATCGTGCTGAGGCCATGACTTTTGTAGGGCTTTTTTCTTCCTTTCCCATGCCAGTTAGTTTACTTATTGTCCTGCTCTGTGCTTTACTGCACATACTGTGTAGCTGCTTTAATCCACTGCCATTCTCCATTCCTAGTCCCTCCCAAGGTCCTACAAGTAGGGAGACTTGAAAGTTTATTCTTGCAGGTTGTGTTCCTACTGAACACTCCTTTTCGATAATTTTGTCTCTTAAACTTGGGTGCAGGGTACAGTTGATGTCTCTTTACTCTTGCACACAAAATTCCAACTTAATAGTGGCTAAATGTGGTCAATTTGAGTGGATCTTTAAAGATGTGACTTAATTTCTTGGATGTTTTAAAGGGGAGAGCTTTCTTTTTCTTAATGTGAATGAAAAGAGCATTTGACTTTGCTGTTACTTTGTAGGTAAACAAAACGTGTTCCTTCAGTGAGAATTAGGGAGGGTTTGTTTGTCTTTAGCCCACAACAGAGGTAAATTTGGGAAAGAACTGCAAGCCAAGCTCGCAGGCGGGTGTCTCGAGCATTGCCCCTTGCTCATGGATGATACGTTGGCAGTGGTTTTGCAGCAGTGTTAGCAGGATAGTCTGTGCATGGTGTGTTTCAGCAGATGCATGCTGTGAACCATGAGAAACTTGCCTTGTCCAGTGGTTCTAATTTCACACACACTAAGTGTCAGCTTGTAAAAACCATCTCTCCAGGCTGCTCGTTGGGGCTGGGATGTGTGAAGCAGCGTTGGAGTCGAGAGTAGTAGAGCCTGAAGTTAGGTTGTGATTTGTAGGGGCAGAGAATGGTGATGACATTTCTGATGCTCAGTTTGGCCATCTGACACTTCAGACCACATTACAGCCACCTCTCTGCATTTTATTGCTGGATCATTCACATTAAGTTTGTGCAGTCCCATGGGCTGGGTTGGGGCTGGTTGGGGTGGGCTTTGACAGCCTCAGCACAACTGCTGTGGTGTTGTGCTACTCTCTGAAAACTAAAGTATGTTTGGAGTTGTATTTGATGGAAGCATCAAGCTGCATAGTAACGATGGTCTTCTCATTTTGCCTCCACAGAAATGGAAATGGTTTGGAATTTGCAGAAGCAAGGTAAGGATGCTGGAAAGAATAAATAAACCAAATTGCTCTGTCCAGGTCTGTCTGTTGGGATGGGTGACAAGAGCAGATTGCCTTGGTGTCTGGAGATGCCTGAGTGTAGTTCTTCAGAGCCTGCTGTTTGTAATCTGGGTTTATCTGTGTTTTGGATCATTAAAAGTCAGAACAATAAGCTTTACCATAATGCTGGGTTGTTCAGAGAGAAGCAGAGTCTCTAAAAGAGCAATAAAAACAGTGTTAAATTAGATTTAATGAGTCTTCCTTATGTGCATACAAAATTGCTTTCTATTTCTGGTGTTGGGTGTCACACCCAAGAATAAGTTTTAAATTCTGGTGTAGCCCACAGTTCACCCTTGAAGATGTGTGTTAGCTTGTGGGAGGAGCTGTGTGTGGAGAGTCATGTGCTGCTGCCCAGGGTGTACTGTGGGTCAGCCGGGGCTCCTGGGCACACCTTCAGGAGGGGCTGTCACAGGGGGTCCTACAGAAACATTCAAGACTGAGAACCTTGCAGATCTCTTGTGAGTGTTTCAGCAACGGGTCCTGAAAGTAGCTTGTCAACAACTTAGGGTTTTGCTTTCTTTCCAGATCCCAAAAGGATAATCACTTACGATGAAGCCATGGATCGCCCGGATCAATGAAGGTAGCAAGACAAGACTGCCTGTTATAACCTTTCTGCAGCATTTGTGCTGTTCGTGGGGGACAAAAGGCTTTTATGCTCCTTCTAAATCTTCAGTGCAGCAGAGGAACCATAACTAGAATCACAGGATAATATATACAAATATATATATAGTTATTTAAAAATGGCAACTGAAAGTAATTAGACTTCTTAAGGAATCTGAAAATATATTTCAACGAGACTACACACGTGATTATTTAATCTCCGGTACTGAATAGATTTTTTTTTCTCGTTTTTGTTTTGTTTTTGTTTAAAGAGTGAATGCAAGTGATTAACGAATACAGACTCAATTTACAAGCCCGGTTCTAAAGTTCCTGCTGTCGTCTACGTGGGCCACAGCAACCCACTGGAGAGGCATTTCCACTTGACAAGGTTTCTGTTTCTTGTTCTGTGACTGTAGTGACACACTAATCACAGGGAAATCAGGATGATTCACCATCCTTCATCTCCCCTTGCCCTTCCACCTCCCCTATTTGGTTTCTTTTTTTTCTGTTTTTGTTTTGTTTTTTCCACTGAATGCTGGAGAAACGCCTTGAAGTTTGCAGAGTTTCTTTTTTTTTTCCAGAGAATTATAATCGGCATGTTTTTGCCAGGAGTAAAGCAGCAAATCCTATGCTGGGGATATTGTCTTAAAGCATCATTCTTCTGGGGGAAAGATGGTAATACTGCAGTTCTAGGATGCATGGTGAAGTCACACTGTTGACCTGGCTCCGGTTACAAGTTGGACTATTGAAACTGAAGAGTTATTTCATTTTTAAAGACAACATGCAAAAATAAGCAATCTGTTTAGGCGTTTAATATGGAGAGGAAAAAAAAAAGGAAAAAAAAAATACAAAAAACCCACTGTTCCCACAGTTTAATGCCATTGTATTACTGGGAGCAAAAAAAAAAAAAAGTATCTTCTGCTTTCAACTGTAGGTGCTTCATATCTGCTCTGTCTGTGTCCTAACACTAAATATGCTGGATTTTTTTTCCCATTTTCATTGGAAAACTGAAGAGGAATTGACTTCTGCTAACTTTCACCCTTCTGCAATGATTTTTTTCTCTTTAAAAAAAAAAAAAAGAAAAAAATAAAAAAAAAAGAAAAAAAAGAAAAAAAAAAAAATGGGAATTTGAATCCTTTTCAATTTGTCCATAGAATGCCAGTGGCTGGGCTTCCTGCACCTGCCCCTTGGAAATGCTCTTTTATATTTTAATGCAGTCTGTGTATTTCCGGGCTCTGCTTCTAATTATCTCTTAATAAAAGTATATTTTATTACAAAAAAAATGGAGGACTTAGGAATCAAAATAATAATATAAAAATAATTTAAAAAATCAAAAGAAAAACCCCAAGGAAAGGCAACTCTCCTGGCAGTGGTGGAGAAGCAGAGAGCAGCCCCTGCTGTGTGACCCGCTCTGTCCCATTGCAGCCCGTGTAGCGCGTCCACATTGTCTTGGGGTCAGGTAGTTCTGGGTTGTTGTAAAAGGTGGAAAGTTCACAGGGTCTGGTACAAAAGCAAGCAATGAATGAAGCAAAAATGGGATTTCTGACCCACCCAAGCTCGACACCCAGTGTTCAGCGTGGGTGTTTGTGGCCCAATACTGGTTCATGGATGTCTGGGTGTCAAGGTCAGCAGCAGTTGGTGTCTCCTAACTTTATACTGGACCCTATGGGGCATTACAGGAAGCAGATCAGCTCAAAACTTTTGCCTACCCCTTGTGCTTAGATTTATCCAAGGTTTTTTTTTGTTAATTAGGAGTATGTAGCATGTGGTTTTTCTAATTGTCTTTATTCTTTTAATAAGATTGTTCCTGAATGAGACGCTTAAATTCATGGTGGGGCAATGAAACTTAACTCTGTACCTTTTGTAAGATTGCTAGCTTTCTGCCATGCTTAGTTTTAAAAGTTTGACTATGGATTGCCTACTCCATTTTATGTATTAAAATACTATATAGTATAATACTGTAGTGTAATACTATATAGTAATCATGTATCGTATCAGTCCAGGTTCAGAAATGTGTGGTTGGCCAGTTGCAAATCGTTCTGTTTCACCTATAAACTGTACCACCTTTGCAGGTGTGTGTTACTTTCAGATGTATGACATGTTTACAGATGTGCCCAACATCTAGTCCTCCGACGTTCCTATTTTTAATTCTGTTGAGTCTCCCAACTGCTTGCCAAAAGTCGGAATCGCCTCCAACTCTGTTGCGGAAGAGCTGGAGCCTTCCTGAGCTTTAAAGTGTTGAACAAACTGGATGGTGGGACTGGGAAAATTGAAGTGGAAGAAATGTTCTTTATTTTATTACTATTAATCATTTTCAGAATGTTGAAGGCTAATAGCAAAATTTCCAGTTTGTTTTACTGGCTTTAAGGCTCTGCTGTGTATTTATTTGCCTTGTGTAGTCACTTGTCGCCTTAAGGGCTGGGTTCCATAAAAAAAAAAAAAAAGGGAAAAAAAAAAAGAAAAAAAAAATTACAAAAACAAGCCTTGTTTTGCTTCCCTGGGGTCTGTGCTGTCCTGGTTGTCCCCCCCACCCCATCCCCAGCTCAGCTCTCTGGGCTGGTGCAACGCAGAAGTGGCACAGCAGTAACCCTGTGCTGAGTCTGACCCTGCGCCCGCAGAAAGATCCCACTCTTGCTGAGTATTTGAGGACACTCATCTTGGCTTAGTCCATCATCTTGGCCTAGTCCAGTCTGTCTTCTAAATAGTGAAAGAAGTGCTGAAAGGAGCACGGTTAAGCAATGGGTTGGGTTTTTTTTTCCCCAGTGTTCATCCCTGCTGCTTCCTCGCTGCACGTGGCCGCTTGTTGGCGGGACCCATCCACAAAACACCCTTTGCAGCTTCTCTGCTGTACTTCTGACCATCCTCTCTTCAAATGTTTCTCTGTCTGTCTGTCTTCATGAGCTTCACGGCGTGTGCTCAGCGCTAAGCAGTTAGGAAATCCTCTCTCTGAGCTCCTGTAGCTTCGGCTTGCCGGCACAGGCTGTATTTCTGGGATAGGCTGTTGCCTAGAGCCAGGCAGGACCGTGGAAGAAACTTCCTTGTGCTGTCGTGTAACTCGCCCTGTCACTGTCTGCAGTTCTGAAGTCCTCACACAATTCTTTACTGAGCACTTATTAAAAATATCTTAAGATTTAATCTGTTTTCTGATTATTTTTGTGTAAACTTATTAAAAAAAAAAAAAAACACAACTGAAATTGAGCTGTGACTAATTTAGCACATTTAAATAATGCTAAGGTGTTACTGATAAGTCTCATGTTTTGTTTTTTTGTTTGACTCAGAGTATTAGTACTGTAGCATAAACCAAATAGGGCCTGGGAAGGGGTGCAGCAGCCTCCTCCCAGGCCGGGCCCCGAGGGTGGGTGTCTGTGGGGTGAGGAGCTGGCGGTGCGTGTGCGAGCATCTTCCTGCGTGAGGGGAGCGAGCGAGCGTGTATTTATTTGTGCCATGGTTTTCATTACACTGAGTGAGTTTTAAGACAAAAAACCTTAAATACTTGTAGTATTGGAAAGTGGCACTAAGGTTGAGATCATGACCTATTTTTTTATTAGCTATGAAGATACTAATTCAGGTTAAGGCTTCTCTCCCATTTCTGTTCCTGTCGTGGATCTGATGAGTCTTTCTCCTCCGGTTCCCTTGCCAGGCTGTCTGTCTGTCAGAATAAGGATTCCAGCACGGGCAGGGGCTGTCTCCTTTCTCCTCTGCTCCTTCCCCACTTGCTCCTCCTCTGCTGTGTGTCTCTTGTACAGGGTCTCATGTTGTGAAGGCCGAGATATGGACCGCCAACCAGATCCAGCATGGGATCTGCTTGCTCTGTAGTGGATCAGGGAGTGTTTCGTCCGCTTTGAGAGATGATTCAAAAGCTGCTCCGTGCTCCTGTGACAGTGGTTTGGGGACCCTCACCCTCTCTGCTCCCTCCCGCTCCACCTGTCTGGTGGATTGGCAGCACAGTGACTTTTGAGGTTTAATTGGAGTGTGGTTTTGGTTTTAACTCACCTTGGTGGTCCATGGAACCCATTTTCATTGTTAGAAATCTCTCCTCTCTTTGACAATGTGAGTAGCTCCAGGGCATGGATTCTGTCACTAACCCACTACAAACCCTTGCTGTTTCTGAAACAAATCTTGCTGTTTGCCTTTCATAGCACCTGTGAAATTCTTTGAAAGGTGGGGTAAAAAAAGCCAATTCTCATTAAGTTGTGAGTATGCCAGCTATTTGGCAGCTGGGAGCAGGTGGCAGGGTGAACTGGTGAACTAAATCAAAAGGAAAATTGCTTTTCCTGCTAGGAAAAAAAAAGAAAAAGCAGGATGGAAGTTGTCCTCTTTGTTGTGTGTGTAGTTAGTGCTTTTCACCTTCGTGAGAGTGTCACTGCAGCGCGATAGCATCCTTTGCAGAATCGGCCAGTGGGTGACCTCAGGGACATCTGGGAGCGATGGCATTCACAGACAGGTTTCAGAACTGATGGTAGTTTTCCTGGTTTTGCTCTTGATTCAGCATTTTCAGTAAATTGCTATAGTGTCTGAAGCTTTCAGGAGTCTCATCCCTAGAAGATTTTTCCGTCCATCTGTAATGATTTGTTTTCTTTACAGAGGCTGTTTACAAGGGAGATGGTCATGGTCAGGAGGGGAGAGAGCAGGGCTACACGTAACTTAAAGCTGCTGCACATTTTTGTGCCGGTGTGTAGGGCAGGAGGAGGGGTGGAGCAGTGCTAACGTGCTGCAGTAGCCAAAACAGCTGGAGTCATTCTAGCTTGGGCCACTGCAAGAGTGTTTTTTCCATGCGACAAAGCCCGAGCGGCTGAGGAGCAGGAACCTGGTCTGGTGCAAAGGAACAGGAGATCTGGGTCCACACTGCTGGACACGCTGCCTTCCAGAGATCACAGAGCTTTAGACATTTGCACAATCCGTGTTACACCACGGGGTAGGGTTGGCTCCCTTGTGTCTCACTGGAGACGCTCAGAAGCAGCCGCGTCTCTCAGCCGTGTGACGCCGGAGCGGCGGTGGGGCAGGGACAGGAGAGCTCCACGGTGGCCCTGCTGGGCTGCTCGCTGTCCTGGGACGGGGCAAATGTCACACCCATGCTTTCACCAGGGGGTGCTGAGCTGGATTTATCTTGACTGTTAATCAGAAAGCTTCGTATAACGTGTTCAGAGCTCTAAAGCCATTTTGTAAGACAGCAGTATCCCTTTTCTACAGCCTTATTAATGAGTAGAGTATCTTTAAAAAGAAGAAAAAAAAATTCCTTTCTTTCTGTGGTATGAAACTTGTGTACTGCAAACATATGAATGTTTAGCAAAAACACAACAGTTTTCTTAAAAAAAAACAAACAAAAAACCCAAAAAAAAAACCAAACCTGTCTGCTTTCCATATGGTCTTTCCTCAGGTGCTAAATAAAGGTTCCAAAAATGGATACTGCTTTAGGAGTTTCTGCTTTATTCTTAAAATACATATTTTTTTGCTTAGGTGTTGTAAAGATATTTTAACAAGAATGTTTTTTTAATGTAAATAAGATTGTGTCTTGAATTTTTCGTTTTATCTCCTTTTTGTCTATATTGAATAGTCTAATTTTCATTTGATCCTTTTGAGAAGGACCCTCTTATGACCTTCCTTGAAGACATTTCATTAAGTGTTGCTGCATTTAACGAACGAATCTACAACTGTTCATTGTCTTGGATTAATGCTGCTGCTGTCCTAAGTAACCCTGAAAATCAAGAATGTGTGATGCACTTTTTGTTTGTTTTACATGACCGTGTAGTTCCTCTGCGGATAGTTGAACCCTCCTGTAACACAGCCACTAACTCTGCGGGTAGCACAGGAACAGGGGGAGCTGGGTGTAGGAGAGGGGGGTACCTGGTTTTGGTGCTGACCTACAGGAATTTCTATGCAAACGCAAGCAAAGGAGAACCCTTAACTCGAGAGAACACTGTGCATTTATTTCTTTTTTTTTTTTTTTCCCCTCCTTCCTTTTCTGAAGCTGCTATTGGAAGGGTAATGCAAATCCCTGAGGTTTTCAGCTTCTCCTTCCTCGTTGGTTGGTGGTGCAGGAAAGATGCCTGAGTAATTTGCAAGGTAGAAAAATCTCAACTGTTGTCTCGTCTCCAGTTTTAGTGTTTTTGTTTTCTATTTGAATCTAGCTATGGAAGGAAATTGCTCATCTCTGCAAAAAGATCTTTTTGATGCTTTATCTCAATGTGAAGTTAACCAGCAGTATTACAGCCAGCGTGGCCTCCTCCCTGCCTGTGCCCCTGGCACTGCGGAGTCACGGGCTCCTTCTCCAGCTGCCCTTGGGTGCTGGGAAGCAGCCAGTGCCCAAAGTCAGAGGTTTTCCAAGAAAAAATTGAGGCCAGGCCATCTACCTGGCCAAAACCTGACGGCTGAGAGCCCATGGCTTGGGGAGTAGCAGAGGGAGGTCTCGCTGCATTGAGGTGCTGCCATGGGGCACAGGCAGGTCCAGAACCTCTTGTCTTCATGGGTCACACCCGGACCAGCACGGGAAGATGTGAACTGTGAAGGAGGAGGCTCCTTAGAGAGGAAAAAAGGGAATTCACTTGACTATTTACAGAAGATCCTTTAGGAAAATAAAGTACCTCTGTAGAGTGAGGGAAGACTAAGAAAGGTCTGAAATCATGTAGGAAAAAAACACTTGGGGGTTGCAGCTGCCTGGAAAATAGTGTGTAAATACATAGGCCAGAACTCTTTGCCTGTTTAGTTAGTTTATTCAGCACCAATTTTTTATTTTGGCCAGCGTTTGCTCTTTCCCCTGACTCAATGTGCCTTGCACGTGTGCATAGTCTTTCTGAAGCGAGTGCGAGCTGCTGGGACGCAGCGTGGGCCGGCCCAGGGTTCAGCACTGCCCCGGTGACCCGTCGGATCGAAACGAGACTTGGACCTGAGCCTGCCCAGTGGCTGTCTTACAGTTCAGGGACAACGTCCTGCGGGGTGGCACCTTTCCTTTCTGAAGCTGCTTTGCTGTTCTGCGGCCAAACCCAAGCGTTGCCATGCTTTGCTTGCAAAGCCAAAGCAAGGGAAGGTCTGGAACTGGCTTTGCTCTGGAGTTAGGGCTCTCTGCAGCACCAGGAGGTCCCGTTAACCTGAGGATTTATTCCCTTCCAGGTTGTGGTTCTTGTTACTGTGGGGTTTTTTTCAGTTTTCTTGTAAAGGAGAAGTAAACACGCCTTGCTTACAGTTAATGGAATAGAAATGCTTGTTTGCAGTCGGTGACTCCGAATACGAAGCTGTGCAATTCTTGTTCCTTCATCTCTCTCCTGACTCACTCACCCCAATGTGTGATTTCTGTCCGAGTCTCTGTATTTCTGCCACTGTAAATGTGAAAGCTTGCTTGCATTATTTTTTAGAAATGCATTTTGCACACTCGGGTTTCGCTGAAGCTCCGTGAAAAGGTTAGTTTGAAGCAGATGAATAAAGCTATGCACATGTTTTTGAAAGTTTAATTTGTGTCTCATTACCAGAAGTGACTTATCTGCCCTCTTTTGCATTCCCATGCTGTCATTGCCTGCATTATCTTCACCATCTCGGAGGGTATGATGTAAGGTGACAGTTCTTTGCTGACAGCTGTAGCAGAAAACTGGCGCTTCTTGATTTTTTTAGTAGCCTATCTCTCTCCTTTGCTTTCTCTGTATCTCTCTGTATAGCTATATAAATATATATATTATTTTTTTATTTTAAAGAGCCTACTTTAGTAACTGAATTGGAGGGAGCAGGGTGTGCTGGCTTGTGTTGCAGATTCACTTCATACTGTCGGATGAATGAGTTCCCTTTTCCCCTCGGGTCGAGAGCGCAGCGGTGGCGCCCGCCGGGCACGCGGGCGGCGATGGGGATGGGGAGCAGCTTTGAGGAGGGGATGGAGATGGCTCTGCCGTGCTGCAGGCTGGTGGCGTGGGCAGACTTGAGGCTTCAAATGACAAAATTAACCGAAGAGAAACCCTACTGTTGCGTATTCCCACTGTGAGGCGGGAGGGACAGGCTTCCTCGCTGTAGTCCATGGCCCACTGGAGCAGAGGGTGGGCTCCTGCTGGTCTCTGGGGCGAGAGCTTTATTTTGGTTTTGTTTTCATGCGTTGGGTTGCAGGTGCCACCTGTGGAAACTTGTTGCTTAGCCCAGAGCCTTTGTGCAGGAGAGTCGGGATTTTTGTGGTGGGAGAAGGACCCTGACAGCTTTCTCCTCGTGTTCCCTTCGCAATGGCAGAAATTTGTACTAACTTGACAGCTTTTTTTCATACAGAACAGGGCTGCTTTTCTATCAACCATCACACGTGTGCTTACACGCCTTCAGCGGCTTGGACTTGTTTACTGCGGGGGACGGATGCCCCTTCTCCCCCTCCCCTGAGTATTTCAGTGTTAGGGGTGGTGTGAAACACAACCGCGCACTTCGACCGCGAGCTGGGGTGGGAGAGGCCCCTCCAGGCCGTGCTGCCGGAGCCCTCTCCTCTCCTGCCTCCTCCCCCACATCAATAAGTTCTCATTTCTTTCGATTTCCTGGTGTCGATTCAAATCGCCGCGAGGGGTTGTGCTCTACCCGCTCAGGAGCTGAATTACCTCTGACCTGCGGAGAGGGGCAGCCCCTTTGTCGTCGGTGTTGTAGTGTGCGGCCACACGAATCGGTAAAGGTAGTCGTGATTTCCTTCTCCCCTCCCTGGTATTTCTGATTAGGTGAATGCACTCTGTGCCCAGCTGGAAAAGCGTAGGCGTTCTCCCGGTCGTGAGAGGGTGGCTAGAAGAGTTAGTGTAATACCTGCTGTAGCTGTGTCTGGTGCAGCCCCTTGCGCTGGGATGGGTGATGTCACGGACTGTAAGGATAGGTAATGTCCATGAGCTGTAATGGCATGATGTATCTTTACCAATGATGTCATATTTCACACTAGATGTTTAAAAGAAAAAAAAAAGTTACCTGAAATTTTGTTTATTCTGCACCAACAGGTCTTCAAAATTTATCCAAATTTTATTATTTTATCAGGAAAAAAAGAAATTTGTGTAGATCGAATACGTTAAGACAGACGATAAGTGATGTAAATTGTTGAATAAAAATTTTAAAGTTTGTGGGCGTCAGTGTGACTCTTTGTTGCGCTCTCGGGAAGCATCGCTTGGCCCCGGGGGTGCTGCGTGGCCGATGA